CCCTCAACTCACTTCAACATAGTTCCTTGAGACCAAAATGGTAGCAAAGCACTACTTTGGTCTCAATTAACCTCCTCAACACACATCAATATAGTTCCTTGGCACCAAGCTTTAACAAAATCCCCACAAAGTAGTACGTGTGTTGAAATAAAACTCGTCAGATCACTTCAACATAGTCCTTTACAACCAAGCAGCTATTAGGTGAGTTCTCTATGTGAAAGTTTGATTGCGTAGATGTCCGCCGGCCTCACCTCCTTTCTGGCCTGCTCGAAGGGCGTGGCGCCTAGCAAGTGATGCGGCCGGATGCCGCTCCCTCGCGTCCTGTAGTCGGTGACGGGGTGACACGGCCAGATGTACTTGTCGTAGAGGATGTTGCCGTGGTAATCCAGGATGCTACAGCGGGCTAGCTCGTTGCAGCGCGCTCCTGGTCCAGTGCCCACCATCTCACAGTCCAGCGCCACCACGACAACAGCAGAGGCGGAAGAGCTCGGGCACGGAGAACTCCTGCCGCTGGTCGGAGGGCTGCCCTCAGAGAAGCCGCTGTCCACCTCCCAGGGGTCCCTCAGGGTCAAATCTTTGTTTTGAACGTCTCTACTGCTTTTAGACTCTTTGACCAGTTCATCACTGTGGCTGTCAATCCTTTTCCTCTTCGCCTGCCGCCTGCGTTTCTTGCTCACACACTCCATGGCACGTAACAACATGGCCTTTTTGCACAGTAATCGGTAATTGCTCAGAAGCCCGCGTGATGAGGCCTTATTCCTTTGCCGCAACCCCACCATCACCCACTGACCAAAGTATCTGCGCCGTCATGGTTTTGCTGTGAGAAACACATAAAAAAGGGAATTTTCACTTTGAATTAACAAGGCATAAACTTTAATAAAGCTATAATTTAATACATTGAAGGATGGCTGTTCATGGAGAACAACACAGTGCAACCTCGCATAATCTTGACCAAAACAACCACATTTCATGCCGATACGACTGTGCCTTTACTTCCTACCTTTAAGTCTTTCAAGTTGAGGTTGTCTTCTTTACTTCATGGTGGTTCAATAGCATTGTAACAAAACAAACGTCTTACGTCATTGTGACCTGTTCTGTTGATTCAAATGCGTGGCGTCACGCAGCCCACCTCCGATTGCTTGCGTCACTCAAGTTACCCAAGAATCCTGTTTGATATTTTGAGCGTCATTTTACATTGTCGTTCAGAAATACATACTTGCTTGGATGGATCCATCCATCATACACGCATTGAAGTGGCTCAGCAAAATGGCTATTTTAGGCTTACATTACCGGCTAACAAGAGAAATTATTTACGTGACGTACGGCCACCGGCTTTTAAGCTAGCCCGACAGCACGAGCCGCTCCAGACAGCAGACATATAGACACATTTTCTCGTGAGGAAATGATTATAACAACCTAGCCAACTTGTTACTTGCGATCAGACGATGATAAAAACAACGACGCATGTAAATAATTATAATGGTAAACGAGCTTAGTTTGACGAAACGTACCTCCTGCTGTTGCACGTGGACAGATGAGCTCGAGCCTGAACAATTTTGTGCAAGGTTCCACCTGATTGGCTAGCTGACTTCCTCGTTGTTGCTAAAGAGGAAGTGCTCACAACTGAAGTAGCGCCATCTATTGGTCTGGAGTAGCGACGTCAGGTGCTGAATTATGAATTTGTCACCCCAAAAAATATATTTTCATTTTCACAGAGGAATTGACTTTTCTTCTTGTGCCATCCTTAAACGCACTACCTTTGAGTAAAAACGTATACATACAAACCAACTGCTTTTAACATCACTTATCAATTTGTATTTTATGGTTGAATTGACTTCAACCCTGATCGAAATTGAAGTGTTTTTCAGGATTCTATAACCATTTAAATACCAGGTTAATTTTTAAAAACACAAATCAATTACATTCCATATCGTAAATGCCAGGGGCAGGGCTTTCATGATTATTAGCCTTGGATACTATATGTCAAACAAAAAAACTGAGGAGCCATTTGGGAGCCAAAAGAGCCGGCTCTTTTTAGTGAGCCGAGCCAAAAGAACCGGCTCTCTAAAAAGAGCCGGAATTCCCATCACTACTGGACAATTTTGTGCAAGGTTCCACCTGATTGGCTAGCTGACTTCCTCGTTGTTGCTAAAGAGGAAGTGCTCACAACTGAAGTAGCGCCATCTATTGGACTGGAGTAGCGACGTCAGGTGCTGAATTATGAATTTGTCACCCCAAAAAATATATTCGAATACATCGGTCATTTTCACGGAGAAATGGACTTTTCTTCTTGTGCCATCCTTAAACGCACCTCCTTTGAGTAAAAACGTATACAGTACATACAAACCAACTGCTTTTAACATCACTGATCAATTTGTATTTTATGGTTGAATTGACTTCAACCCTGATCGAAATTGAAGTGTTTTTCAGGATTCTATAACCATTTAAATACCAGGTTAATTTTTAAAAACACAAATCAATTACATTCCATATCGTAAATGCCAGGGGCAGGGCTTTCATGATTATTAGCCTTGGATACTGTATGTCAAGAATTAGCAACAAAAACTTTGATGAATGGCGATTTACCCATGTTTTGTGCATGTATATTTTTGACTTAAGTGTCCGCGGCAGAAGTCACCATGCTGAAGGTGCACTACAGGTAGTCCCCATCGTGAGCCAGACATGCTATCCACGAGTTGACCGTTGCTGCTGCCTCCAACCATTCAAACGACAGGTGCTTGTATATAACGATAAGCATTTATTTGATCATTGCATTCTATATATTTAGTATGGCCCTCAGAAAACTAAAATGTTCCCCACCTCGATTTAAAAAAAGAAAAAAAAATGTGTACATAGGAATATTGTTTCTTCACATCCTTGTTAAGTCGTCTCATCCACATATCATTTTTTTCCATCACAGTTAGGGTAGCACAAAAAACATTTCAGACAGTTTAATGACATGTTAAGGACACAGGAGACAAACAACTGACTAGATTGTACTTGCTAGGGAGGAGGGGCGGAGTTACATTCACCTTTTCGGCCCCGCCTGCTTTTCTACTAGTGCAAAGAGTCCCATGTGAACAACTAAAATTTCCGCGTCGGCTTTGCATTATGACGTCACAGGCTCAGTGCCTTCACTGGCCAGTTGAGGTAATTGGAGCACAAGAATCAAGTTGAACATTTTTCTCTTTTTTTTTTTTCCTTCAGTCAAGCAAAAATACAGCGGCACTTCCAAAGTCGAACAGTTTGGACCTCAACCAAAATATGTCTTAAAAGTCAGACAAAACTCAAAGGATCATGTCCGCAAAAAAACAAAAACGGATGAAGTCCTTGTTTCGATTTTTCTTTTGTTTTTACACTATGCCGGCGATGGCAAAAATGAAATGTGTGATAACCACCAGAACCACAAATGGACCTTACTGCTTCACATGATATTCAGTCTTTAAACATCACTAGGTGACAGTGCTGCAGGTGATTAGTTTTACTTTTAGTTTAATTAAACAGTTAAGTTGATGACCACATTAAGTGACTTCCTCTGGAAGAGGAAAAGAAAAAAAAAAAGATTTAACAATGGATGCTCAATACCACTTCTTCTCCTCAGACCAAGACCAGTAAAAGTTTTCACTCTTTTGAGTATCCACCGAAACAGAGTACAGATACCTCCAGTACTTTTGATATATGATTTCATATCGGTGGCTGGTACTGTCTTGGCAGCCTCCTCAAGTACCCAATACCTTAAAATATGGCCCGATACCTGGTATCGGTACTCGCCCAGCTCTAGTTTTAAAACAAGAACAACCTGGAAGTCAACCAGGAACAGATTATGTTCCACATTGGACGGTCACACCAATATTTTTTTGTGCTTTGCATCTTCAAAGTAGAAGCAACTGTTTGTGGGGTGGGGTTTAACCTTGAAGGCCCTTTTATCTTCTCGCCCAGTCATTTTTTCTACACAAATGCAACAACTCGGAAAAATATGACGATCTACGAGCTAAAACGTGAAATCACTTTCCATTGAAATGTGAAGTTTCCCTCAGAAGGCTATGTCCCCACATACATCACTATTATTGTATTTCCAAATATGTACATTACATCCACATGTAAACACATTTGCGCATCGCCGTATGCATGACGAAGCACCAGGTGGCACGACGGCCTTGAAATGGTTGGCCAATCGGAAACATTTTGCATGAAATAGAACCCTGCAACTTTGGTGAGATGAGCCAAGAGAGGGGGGGGGGGGGGCCCCCACCGCCGAAGGTTCTCGGACTCATTTGCAGCAGAACAACTCTGGCAGTGACCACTTACAGACATCTAATGAGAGTTTGTAGGCTGGGGAGGGGAACGATGATAACGGTTACTGCTTCATCTGCTTCCTGTCATACTTGTTCCCCTTTCTTGTCAGGACATATTTTACACAAAGAAAAACATTTGAGTATGTGGGGACAGAGTCTTGGTAACTTTCCCCATTTGTGGCAGAAATATGAATATGTGTGACTTATCTCAAGGCAACGCCAATGGTTGCAAAAGTTTGGGAATTTTCAACATTGGAAACTTTCCATGGGAATGAAGGAGAATGAACCCAGAAACTGATAACAATGAAGGTTGCCCCGATATAGAAAATTTAAAACATAGTTGAAGGAAAACATTTTAGTATTAAAAAAATAATAAAACAGCCAGATTTCATGCAACTACCTTGACTTACAAATTCAAGTTATAATTGATTCCTGTTTTGTGCTGCAAGCCAAAATTTGAGTTACGAACATGCTGTGGATACACAGTACAAAAAAAAAAAAAAATCAATGCCCTTGCTTGTAGCAAAGGAGAGCTTTCTAGTTAGCATGGATAAAAATAGCACCGGAAGGGAAAAGCAATACGGTTATTGCTGACACGGCCACAAACAGCGAGGGTTCGAATCCCGGCCAGTGCCCCGATACTCAGCCAGTGAGTAAGGGAGGGGTGGGGGCGGGAATGGTCTCTGGCGCCAAATCAATCATTATAAAAGACAAATTCACAAAGGCAGAACCGCAAATATGAGGGATGTTACCTGTGTTTCCAAAACCAGCTCACCTTCAGTTAGTGGAAATTTCCCAAACTTTTGCAACCCAAGGCACACCATGCTTCGAGATATTGGAGTTGAATTCTGCGAGTCCCTTCAAATTAAAAGAGGACAGGGTGCCTCCCCCCCCCTTTCCCCGTGCATAGAATCCGACCACGGACGACGGCAGAGGCAGGTGACGTGTCCACAGGCAGGATTTTCAAAGTGTCGAGAGGAAGACGCCGCAGCACCCGCGCGCTCAGAAGCCCGGCTGGCTCTTGAACTCCGAGTAAACCAGCCCCTCTGCCGAGATGGCATCGCCGAGCCCGACCGTCCGAAGCGGCTGCTTGCACACCAGCACCGGCGTCATGTGGAAAGTGACGTTTCCCCGGCGCCACGCCGTCAACGGAGCCGCCGGGTCGAGGGTGAGCGCCACCCGCGGCTCAGAGTCCGAACTGTGAAAGCTCAGCGGCACCTTCAGCTCCACCTTGGTAGGGTCGACGGCGCGGGTGCCGCACGCCTGGCTGCTGGCCACGCGGGCCCCCGCCATCACCGCCGCCGCCTGGTTGGCCCAGTGGCCGTCCACCGTGGCCAGCACGTGGTAGGCCAGCGTGTGGAAGTGGACGCGGGTCAGGTCGGCCTCCGACGAGGGGTCGCTGCGGCCGTGGCGCTCCAGGATCCACAGGAGGATGTCGCTGACCTGCCCCACGTCGGGGACGCCCTTCCACGCGGCCAGGTGAGCGTGGGGTCCGCCGCCCGCCTGCGAGAGGAACAGCAGTTCCTGCTCGTTCAGCCCGATGGAACTTACGATGGGCATGACCTGCTAACAGGAAGACACAAAAAAAAAACATGGAACACAGTCAATATAAGTCATCCAAAGTCAGTGGTTTCATTCTAGAAAATCAGTGAATTCCCCATTTACATTTCAAAATAAAAAAAATTATGTGCTGAGTGAAATCCAAGCACTTGAGTGACACCAGGGCGACTTCGTCAAGCGCATCCTTCTGCTCAAAATCGTAACACATACTCTGTGATACAGAGATACGTTCCATGTTCAAATGTATGCTTCAGATTGTCCAACTCAAAGTCTGTTGACTGTGCTGCTGCGGCGCCATGACGGTGAAGACACCCTGCCCCCACTGTAAACAGTCAGCAAACAGAAGGAATTTTCAATCTAAAAGCGGGTCCCGCTACCCTCTGCTGGCAGTTTGGCTCATGAGCACTCCTTGCAATTTAAAGGGCCATCGTATATGCGAAGCCGATCAACCCCTCCCAAAGAAAAAACACCCACTGACATAACAAACTTGGCACTGAAGGTTTTGCTTATAATAGATGACCTAAGTCTTTCTCTGGAATTAATTAATAAAACAGATCTGACCTTTGCTATTTGTAGAGAGGCTGTGCAACGCGTTAGCGTTCATGAATGAATTTCATTTTTACAATTCCAAAACGTTGTGCGAGGCACATCTGTGACTGTCCGTCCACTCAAGGTTTTTCTGATTGAAAGTCGTTTCCAACATGTACCTCCTGCATGATGCTGTTCATGTAATCTCTGTCCGTCATGCTCGCCAGCTCCAAGTGGATGGGGATGTCCTTACGAATATCTGAGATGGCTGCCACCGCCTGCCAAGAGGGGACACAGTCTTTTAAAATTCTTATTTTTTTTAGCTTTTAAATGTAGCATGTTGATTATTTATTTAGCGACCATATAAAAATGAATTGCGTCTGTATCGGCAGACATGTTGTAACAGCTCTTGTTGGATCTCTTTACATTGCACAGGTGTCACCTTTGATTTGATTTACTGAACATACAAAGATGTAAAAATATGAAAGAAAAGATCATCTAAAGAGTAGGAAGAAGTAGAAAACTTATCTTGTTCTCTACAAACTATAACTCATGGCATGTTAAAACACCAATAGGTTATCCATACATATAACAACAAAAACAGGCTCCAAATTTGCAGATCATTTGTGGTACTAAACATCAATGGTGAAAAATAAATAAATAAAAATAACTTAAAATGCTGAAGAACAGAAGACTTTTTTTTTTTTTGGTGCTTGGTTACGTTCCACCCCTGAAATGAGTCACCTGTGTTCTCCGATACGCACCTCTTTGAGCCGGTCCTCCCACAGCTGCCGGCCTTGGCCCTCCATCATGTGCAGCCCAGACAGGACCACCAAGTCGGGCTGGAACTCGTCCAGGCTGGCCACAAACGTCTCCAGCGAACTCATCGCCCCGTTGGACACGTCGTGCGAAAAGATGAAGCGGTTGGCTTGAGGCGCCCGCGTTGAACCCCACTGCTCGCCTGGTGACAGAAATTCCGCCGTAGCATTAAACGAAAAAGCCCTCGAAACCAGTCCGAGGTGTACCTCGCCTCTTCACTTGGAATCGACTCCAACTCACCCGTGAACCTAAGCTAATTTAGTCTTATCACATTACATATTTGTTTTTGGGTTTTTTTGCCTTTTCAGCATCAAGTCTGATTCATCTTGGGCTCATTTTTATATATCATAAAAACCTGGCATTTCAACCAGGGTGTGTGGAAGTTTTAAATCCACTGTTACTGCAAGTACAAACAAGAAACTTTCAACAGAGAGAAAACTATCAATTTCAGAAAGAATTTGTCCATTGAGTTTAGAAACCTGCTTTGTACTCCAGGATGAGGTGGTATTCGTCCATCTCCTGCAAGGAGCCTGGCGGAACAACGATTTGCTCATCTAGCATCTCATGGAGTTTAGGTCCCACTGGGCCACATAACAAAACCTGCAGTGTAT